GTGTTATACTTACAGTTTTTCTTCATATCATGTACAATAATGCTTGTCACCTTTTTACAGCAGCATATATTTTCTGTCTGCTTGAATTCATTTTGTGAAAAAATATAACAGGTATTGCTAGAATACATAATTAAATACCACAGAGAATTAAAGGCATACACGGAGTTACAGTATGCATGAAATGGGGTCAAGAGAGCTTTTCAATAACGTGAGACACAATACCCCCCGAAACAAAATCTGGGACATAAATTCAAGAAGAGATTTTTAAAAATGCAATGTAATTCAATTCATTACAGCAATCCATTTGTTATGATTTTACCGATAGAAGCAATCACCGGCGATACAAAGCATTCCGATAAAAGCGTTTGCTACACAGCCGTCTATTGGGGATATTGTGGGACAACACAGCTCTCTAGTGTTTGAAAAAAGAATTGCGGTGGTGTAACAAAAGACTACACCCTTTCGGTGCATTAAGCAGTTAATGGATATTATATTTTCAGAAAAAAAGGTTAAAATGTTACTTATGTATAAGTGTTCATGAAATTAAGAGACGCCGAGTAGGATGGAATCCTAATACTCAATTATAGTACTTATAGTAATTTAATTATAGAGACGTCAGGTACTTCTATGCTTGATGCTCTTTCTTGAGGTTTTTATCCAAATGCCAAACACGGCATTTGCACCCATTTAAAACAGCTGGGTATTTTACTGGAATAATGTGGGAGAAGTACCTCGTTCGAAGGCACAACAACAGTGCAGACTACTACCAACTGTGCTTGTCAGTCAGCATTCTTCCGAGCATCCTTCATATTTTGTGGGGATGGGGTGGGTAGTGGGTCGTTGGAACGCGCTATATAAAGCAGGTATAATAAAAAAATAAACATCACCATTGCGATATATACTGTAGCTTATATATGTGTCGATACGCCTCGCATGAAGCGTGTACACATGTCGAAAGAGAACTGAAGCGTAACAAAATGGCCTATCTGTAGATTTAAAGAGGTGAGACTGTTACTAACTACAGACGGCTTGCTATATTCCTCACAGATGCCAAAGACACATATCAGACAACAGACCTGATAGCTCTCAGAACAATTCGGGAAAGGCAGGAGGTCTTTGTTTAACCCATACTAAACGAAATACTACATGAGAGAATTGTATTTTTTTTTTCCCGACAGAGGGCAGCAGAACAATAAGACTGTGGTAGGATGACATTGTATACCTGTAACACGACATCACGTTAGGACATTCCCTTACAGTTTATATTCCCTTAGTTTTTAGAGAGATAACGGCATGAAGGTCTATTTTTAAAGTCTGTACTGTAATATGTTTCCTTGTTCGTTGATATTTCGGCTCTTAAAGCAAGTTACAATAATAATACTAATAGATCTTGAAACAAGAAACATTTACAAAATTAAATGCTAATTAATGACATTTCGTACTACGAATAATAATTTGATTTTTCCCAAGCAACTCCAAGTACTTCAGGCTTAAAGTTAATTAAGCCCTGTCAACTTTGGTCTTGTTTATTAGCCAAAAGAGGCAGAACTAATTGAATAGTCGAAACAATAACATAAAATAAAGGTATAAATATTTTTGGGCAAAAACATGTACAATAAAAATGGAATAATGAAAAGTTAAGGTTTAATAAGGTCTCTTTAAATAAGGTATCTCATTGAATGCACAAATAAAAATAACCACACGAGGTCAGCACAGTACAAGTTTCTGTTGGGTTACTCACCTAAAGTAGGGGGTTTTAAGTAAAAGCATGTCTTAATACACACAAAAACGTACTTTCAAATTTATTACCTCCTTCATAATTGGGTCAATATTCTGGGGAGCTACTGCTGGATTGTATTGTTTTGTGAATATGTACCTAAACATAGTAGCAACAATTCCATCTAAGATGTGGAAAAAAGTGACTAGATTAGTAGGTGGATGCCATATTGCACCTTTGACTGTCCGTTACATAGTGGAGACTTCATATTTCCTGATGTCTGCTGTGGAAAACGTTCCAGAAGAAGTGGTAAACTGGGATGTGGGATGTGTCGACGAGGAACTCAACACTAGAAGAAAAAAGCAATGTGTTCTACACCAAATAAAGCAAACTGAAACAAGTGCTCAAAACCGAATGTCTGGCCTGAAGGTTTCTGCTCTGAATATCACAGTTGTGTAGGTGTGTTGGTAAAAGTGTCCACAGTATGTTTGGAATTCAGTATGAAGCCAGTTATCTCATGTGTGAATGCATAGACATAACAGCTGCCCCAAGCCTACAGAAAATGGGGTCTATAACAGTATTTATACACACATGTAATCAGTCTTGCTACTCATTGTTTGCTTGGACAGAGTACTGTAGCTTTCTGGAGAAGAATGCTTTCACTCACAATACATTGCCACATGTTGTGTTATGATGTGGCAGTGTATGTTTCACAATTAAAACTAGAGATATGACTTTTTGTGTAAGGCACAAAAATACTTCAACCAGCACCTCACTATAAGCATGAACCTTAGTGGTGAAAGACAGTACTGTATGTCTTCTAACATGACAACAGACCACACCAGAAAACTGGTAAAGTAACTCAAGATAAAACATTTCATACACAACTTAACATTCTGATGAGAAACGCAGTAGAACAATACCAATATGAAACGATATGATGAACCAGTAAGAGACTGCAGAGATCTCTGTCTCTCTATGCATTACAAAGTGCTGCAAAGGTGTTTGTCTTCTGGCCATTTAAAAAAAATGTAATGAAAACGTATTTCTAGAAGTGCAATAGTTATTAAGGCTAAGGCTGAACTTTCAATCTATTAAATAGATTGCGATCTACTGTCGTTTGTTATTGTTACTGTTGGCCTAATATTTTAAGTAATATAGTGTATAAGCGTGTTGTACAGATTAATCACGGTTAAATTTTAATAGGAAGAAACTATTTTTATGTGGCGCCTTTAAAGGTGGCTTGATTGTTACATATGATTGTTACAAACCGACTGGCATGCCCTAAGGGGTGGACAGAGTTTTCTCACCTTATTAGAAATTGGATCATTCAGGGTTCTACTAGCAGTAAATAGACACATACAGATAGCACGACTACTTCACTTTTGTGTTAATTGTGGGATTCTGGTTGCAAAGGGGCCACTCATATTCCCTCAACATCGTAACTAACTCAGAAAAGAGAGAAAAGGAAGGAACGAATACATCAGTATTTTATATAGTAAATATTTGAATATTGTCACTAAACTAGGCGACTTTGATTCCCCCGTTTCCTTCTTTTGCCAATGTAATGAAATGAAGATTAAAAAGTAGCTGTGCAGTCTACTTGAAAATTATTACTGGGAGATTCCAAAATCGGGATGCTTGGACTGTGCTTTCAAACGAGTCTAATTTCTTTTCAAGACAATGAAATATATATATATCAGATTCTCAGATATTTTTTTTCTCGGTCCTTCATGGTATAAGGTAATTGTTATTCTTATTTCATTTTTTATCTCCATATTTTATCTGCACGATTTCTTTAATCTTCAGCGCACGTTTACGTACTGTATGTCCCGAACTCCGAGCAGTACTAGAAAAAAACAGGGAACCGGATTCCACTAGGAATCGCTATCTGTGTTCTGGCACAAGCTGAAGAAGGTATAAATAAAGCCCATACGGACGCCTATATGACACCGCCGTTTCAGTCAAATGAGCATTTCAGATAATAAAAACAGCAATACAAAATTGTTTGTTTCTCAACGGTGAATTTCTTATTATTTGTTTTTTCGGGGAATGATAAGCAATCTAAAGGCACTATCTGTATAGCCTTGTTGAAAGCAGTGATTAAAAATAATCAATTAATTGGTTATTCTACATAAATGGATACTCATACACTCATGCAGCAGTGCAGTTTACATATCGCAATGATAATATAAACTAATCATTAACTAATTTTTTGGGAACAAAATATGTTGTTATAATTTTACATTGTCGTTGAATTCATTGTAGGACTTTCCATGGCCAAATCTGTTGTTTTTTTTCATCGGTGCAATTAACAATGCGAAACGATTTCCAAAGCTACTTTGCGAGTTTTGTGATCTCTCCTAAAACTGTTTCATACGCACGTAGGTCACAGAAAATATGTGACTATATCTAGAAATCACACCGGAAAGAAATTATATACAAGGGTTTATTGTCACTGCTTGACATACAGTAGTTGCAGTTGTAAAAAACAAAGTTTCTGGGGTAAAAACCATGAAAATAGCGGTTCAGCTATTACCGATAGAGGTCAAGGCTTACTATTTTATATTATTCGAACAATCCCTCTAAAATGTAATGGTTTTAAATACTTATAACGATAAACGTTTAGAAAATACTGTAAGTATTAAATAAGTTGATGTCGGCCCTAGAGTAATTCGGAGAGTATACCTATCTTAAAATCTCTTACGTAAAACATACCACAGGTTCAAAGACAAAACAAGCGTGTGTTAAAACGGCACTTTGTAATGTTGGGAATACAAACTGTTTTGGGTTAACGCAGTTTAAGATCAGTCTATTTAACAGGTGCAGTTAATACTGAATGGACAGAGCAGGTAGTACAATTAATGCTTTTGTGTCAATTCCATAAACTCGTGCTCATGGGTATAAATTCCACATTAGGCCTACTTAAAAATACATCAAATCTAAATTCATTAGAAATACACTCCAAAAAAAATTCTTCGAAACAACAGATTGGTGCTTAAACAGAAAAAAAAACAATTGCAAGGCAAACTCATTATGCATCCTTTTGATTCTATGACACAGCGATGCGTGAATTGCACAGATTTGCACTACAAAAACCATAACCACTTATTCTTGTTTCGTCTAAGTTTAATACAAAATTATTTTGTTCCAGTATGATCGCCAATTTCTTGCATTTTTGTTTTCTGTAGCCTACATTTTTCAACTTGTATATTAAAAATACCTCACTGTAATGTGATGTATAATGAAATACAATATAACTTTTCAAAATTGTTTCTTTGAATTACTGGTTTTAAAGTTCCAAACTCAACATTTAGCTTTGATTGAACAGCATTGATATTCAATGTAGAGTTTACAAAAGGTGGATTTCGACTGATATTTGTGGCCATGGGTTTGAAGAAATTGTTTTATATTATCCTTAAAATGAATCACTTCGCCTTTATGGCGAATTTCCTGTAACCAAGACCCAAATATACGAGTGCATTTCCATTAAGGATTTTCTGGAGTCCGAGCAATAGAAACCAGACAAAAGACATACCTTGGCAAATACAATGAAGAGCAATCAATGTGCATAAACACCTACAGTACAACTCATTCAACAGCGTCCACACCTCGCAATTATGTAACAGTTTAACTACAGGCCACCTAGAGGAGAGAAGGGCAGTAGCGAAACAACGTTTCATTTATCAAAATGTGACAACATGGAAACACAATTTAAATTTTTTAAATTAACAGGAATTGGAACAAAGTTAACAACAGCAGGGATAAAAAAATAGAAGATGCCCACAGAGAATTGTACCCGCTGTTATGAAACGTGTGAAACAATTTAAACATAGATAGCTAAAATACAGTCTCCATCTCATAAAATACGCATTAAAAACGATTTCTTGGTGTTGATCTCTCAGTGGTGATGACACAATAACTGCGCAGCAGAATAGTCTTAAATAGGCTGCTAATGTTTGGACATTAAAGGTCTGTGGCACGGACAAGGGATTATTTTGAGCATATTGAGTTTCGTGTAATACCAACTCCTCCAGTTGGTAATATTTTCTTTTCCATTTATTTAAAAAGTTAGTTTGAGGAATTCCAGTGAGTTTAGTTTTATCAACCTATTTTATTGGCGCCTGTATCTTTCCTCTACTGAAATGTTGTCTTCCCTTACAATTTAATATTAAACTGGTATAAAATAGATTCAGACATAATTCGTAGAATGCATAGCACAATTTACATGTCTAGTTTAAAAAAGCATTAAGCATCATTATTGAAAATATTTCCCGTTTCTTCGGTAACAGCACGATAAGAAAACGAACTTCCCTTCAAATACAGATATTAAGACCATAAAAATGATTAATAATAAGAAGGCCATTTTTATCAACTAGCTTGCTACACGTTGGTAGTGACGCGAAGACATCTAACATCCGTTGGTTTTAGATTGATTAGCCATACTGTAGCACCAATAAATACGCAATAGGTCATTTGCAAGAAATAGATATCTAGTCCTACTTATAAAATGTTAAAGTTTGTGGTCTAAAATTTTAGCTGCTGTCATCATTCTTTTTTTCATGTTAACGATTACATTTCCTGTAGTTCAAATGAAATGCTGAAAGAATTCTTAACAAGCCCCTGTAATTGCAAATCATCGCGATTTAGATGCTTTAGAATTAAAAGGCGTGAAAGAGGCAATTAAAAAAATCAATAGCATTTCGATGGGGTTTTGTGATTGTAATAAAGTATTTTTTATCACATGGTAATGCGAAATATCTTACTTGCAGAGGCTACATGACCCCGAAACGTCACACGTTACATTTAAAGATTTTTTAATTGAGTAAAAATGTACAAGTTTTCACCATAACAACATATACAACAGTTTACCAATAAACAAACATGTACACAAAGTAAATATTGGGAAGTACAAAATGTATACTTCACAGACTTGATGAGTTAATAAAATTTGAAGACAAGTTCAAGGTATTGTCAAATTATTGTACAACCAAGAACAACTGTGAAATATCGCTTATAATTACACACTACCTTCCCCCACCCTAATAATCTAACAAACATTTAACGTTTTAAAAAGAAAATGAGCCTATTAAATTAGGGCATAAATAGACTTTAAAAATGCGGTTTGCTACTAGGAAGTCTAAATACTCTTACGACCTTGTACAGTTCATTTAACAGGAAAACCAATACACATCACTCTTGTGACCATAGACAATTGCTGAGTAGCAATTAGTCTTTATAATGCTCATTTTGAAATATCAAAATGCAATACAGTAAAATGTACATACTTCCACACGATACAATATCACTAACAGCTACATATGTCTGTACATTTCTTCTCATAATTACAATGACATACACATTTTTAAAAAAGAGCTCGACTGGGAAACACTTGCAGGTCAGCAGTATTTTGGCATTTTCTATAAAACATTCCTATTTGGCACTGTATTGGATACAATTCAAAATATGAAATCTACTGCATTAAGACGATGTATCAAGTTTCGGTGTTGTCACATGGTCCTGTGACTTCAAAACAGTGTTAACTGCGTGACAATTGGGCAACTCCAGATCCAGCAACGTTTCTACAGCCAAACACTTCGGTCTAATGCTATACCAGGCCTTATTTTGTTAGTAAAATGCTAATTATAACTATACAGCTTGATAAATATGGTCCCAGGAAACGTAAAATAAAAAATCAAGCTTGTAGGTTTCACAATTCACACTTAGCAAGGTTTTGATGTTTCCTGATTTGTTTCAGCCAGTACTGCTATTCTTAACAGTTTTTTCCCTCCTGTTTCAGCTTCTAGCTATGCGAGTAGAAACTATAGTAACCAATGTCCTTTGCACAGTTCTTCTCACATTCCCTTGGCGTTAACACCTCGCTTTTCAGTGGGGAGGCAGTTTCAGAAACCGGCGTGGCAGAAGGTGAAATCCGCCTCCGTTTTGCCTGCTCAAAAATCCCCGAATCGCTGGAGTCGATGGACTTAATGGAAGAAGGAGTCTCTATCCAGCTTGATTCCGACAGGTCTTTGGGTTTGGTGTCTTCGGACCCCCCTAGCGGAGAGCGTTCTGTTGCAAGGCTGTCCCCTTCTTCCCCGAGATATGAGTTTGAGGCGCCAGTCCTGCTGCCTGTGCTGTTGGTGGGCCAGCAGGAAAGCACGGAGCTCGATTTACTGCAGTACTGCGGTGGAGTGCGCGCCCCCCAGCCCGAGGGGTCTGTGTAATAACCCAGGGGTCTACCTGAGCAGCCCGCCGTCGGCAGCGGTAGAGCCTTAACTCCGGCAGCTGCGTAAGACAGAAGAGTAGCTGCGTTGCCAGCAAAATCAGCGGCGGCGGCAGCGTCGTATGCCGAGGCGGCAAAGTCCAGTCGGTTGTTGGCAGGGGTGACAAACCATCTCTGCGGGGAAGCCGCTGCGGTCTCCTCTGCTTGCTGCGGGGATAGCAAGCTGTTGCTGTGTGGGACGCTGCGGTCCGTGCCTGGACCAGTCCCAGCGCCAGGGTGGAAGCGGGATTTGGCATAACTGCTGACAAATTGGTCCTGCAGGAAAGAGCCCGCCATGGCGTATCTAGCACCCGGCACTATCTGGGAGCGAGGAGAGTCACTTGGCGACGGTGTCAAACGGTCTATGTCGCAGCCCGTGTAGATCCTGAAGACAGAACACGAAGACGTCGTGAAAATCGCAGAGTAAACAGGAAAAAAACGGCCCCGACAAGACATTTAAGCATTTATTGTCCTTTCAAAATTAACAAAGCAATTGGGCAAGCCAAAATTGATAGGTCTGCATGTCGTGTGATTCGGTTTTGGAGTGCACCGGCTTCTTCAACTTAAAAACTAGTTTTCTTGTCCATTTAAACTGTATGCATTTCAACAGTATGTACAAAAACGGATAAGACTGATGGTACTTATGTTTTGCAATCTGAGCTAATTCCTGTTAGACTATATAAAGTGTGAGCAACGAGCGTTTTTTCCCCATTAATCATTCTCTTTGAGATTTGTTGTTAACTACTTCTCTGTTTTAACTCTGTGACAGGGAGTTTGACAGTAAGCATGAAAAGCGCTCTTTAAATAAGTTATTGTATTACCAACTACTTATACCGAAATCTCGAGAAAACCTCAAGTTATATCCCCCCTATAAAACAGTCAACACATATTTCAAAGATTTAAAAAACGTTTTGGAACAATGTATTTTGCAAACATACAATTGTTGCGTCGACATAATTTAAATATCGTCTTCATTTGTTATTATCCTATGTATTATCACACAAGCGATAAATGCATACAAAATGGATATTTGAAATTATTTCCTTCGAATTCACTTTTGCGTTTTCCGTTGATTAACGGAGGTGCAAGAATGATTTTTTTCCAGTTCCAATATTACATTGCTCAGCGCTCACTAACTTTTCACACGAAATGCGAAGAACTGGCGTGTAGAAAGTGTTCGCTTCCCCTGTTTATTATAGTTCTTTAAAACAAGTGGCACTGAAACTATATAACCGGAGGCAACAATAAAGTGCAACGCCTTTCTCTAAAATATTTTAAAAACACGTTGACAAACTAAAAACATTTTTTAAAAAAACGTTTTAACATAATTTGTTTCCCCGCTTTATGGGTGTCATTTTGTGTTTCAAACACAAAGTCGTATCACATTTTGGTCTAATAAAATTTAATATACACGGGGCTCTACACCCCACGTCTTAACAGTTAAGTGCAATCAGACAGGCTGTACAAAGATGCGATGCGGTTTAATAATTAGTATAATTTAAACATTTCGAAAGTTCACAGTCTTAAATTTGCTATGTTATTAGGCCTGTAGCCTAAAGTAGTTTACATGGATCTCTATTTTAATCGAAGCGAAGAACTATTCATTATTTATTTCAATTTAGTTGAATCTCGCGCGATGACGCAACTCCCCGGTATAACAATATGCAGGTTAATGAACACTTAAGCAGTTAAAATTATTATTATCAGTCGATAAAATAACACTAAAGACTAATGATACTCATAATCATAAGTCTCGTAATAATCATTATTCGCAGAAAATCGTTTTATTTTTAACCTTAAACACGTTAATGCAAACAGGTATATTTGTATGCGTGTGCTTACGGTTATTTAACATGCACAGAAATACAAAAGTACAGTAATATATATAATCAAAATGTTTTTAATAGTTTTACTGTGTAGATATGTTACATTTCTCCCAATGTATTTGTATACGCCCAATACAGAACTTATAAAAACACTTGTGAATTTCTGTCAATTTAATTTGTTCTTAATGGTTATCACAAACCTGACATTAATCGACTTAAGAATTTAAAAACTCACTAAATAATATCGTGAAATGTTTTCAAGCAATATATAGGCTATATTTGTATAATTTAAAAATAACGTTATGCTACACAACAACAAAATCAATATATTCTCACGTGTCGTAGTTGTCCCGAAATCCTTTTGCAAACGGATTGTGGTCGATTTTCAGTTGCGTAATCTGAAAAAAAAAAGATCAGTTTCCTCAGATTTGATCTACTTCTCGTAATATTCAACTGTTAAAACAACCAGCATTCAAATGACTATTTTTTATTGTAGTTGTGTCATAATAATTAACTTTTAATATTTGGAGAAAAAAAGCATAGTTGCTTAACTGTGGTCTGTCAGTAGGCCGTGTATCGTTTTGTGTTTTAGGGTAATTTTGCATTTAAACGCAATAAACAGTCTCATTCTTTGTTTTTACCCTCTGCCTCCCCGATGTGTTGGATTACCTAGATGATTATGATTCAGATATGCTTATTTAAAATAAAACACACTTGTATTAGACTACTGCGCTGTTACAGGTGGGAAAGGGATGATCTTACATCGGTGTTCTGATAAGCCGTTACAGCGATGAATTGTGTCTCCGGGAAAGTGAAGGTCTGCACTCTTCCCGGCTGGCTGGTGTCCTCTGTTCCATCCTCATTCACTTCCACTACGTGCAGTCTAGGCTGGTATTTGTGTAGCGACTGCAAAACCACCATCTAAAGAAGAGAAATCAAAATCAAAGGGACAGGGTGAAAAAAACGAAGGTATTATATGCACTGTCAGATTCTTTTCGACACTACAATTACATTCGCCAAAGCAAAAAAAAAAAAGACTCAGAGTGTTAGCCTGTAAAGTAGTATTTTGTCAGAATTTATCATTCGAGTATAAATGAAAAAATCCGCTATCCTCCTTATTGTACGTGAATCATTTCTGAAGTTTCATAAGCGTAATGTAGTAATTAAGGAAAAACAAGTCATTAATTGAAATAATTCATGTGACTTTTATCTTACCTGACCCGTGTTGTTAGAGGCTCCTTTATTATTTGTTAACTTTAGTTTCCCGAAGGAAATTTCCTGCCGCATCCAGTGAGCTCCCGTGTTAGGAGAATCTGGATGCATATAAACCCGGTTTCCTGCATAAGTGAAGGAATTAATAAGTACACAAATAAACAAACAGATACAAATCTTCGATCTCATTATTACTGCATATTCACAACAACATTTGTAGTGTTAGAAGGTATTTCTGCTAAATACATTTCCATCGGCTAGGCGCATGCTGTCAGTTATATTTTTTCCGGCAGCTCTGCAGTGTGGCGATTTTGGCTACGCGGCTTGACCTCGATTTTTGATATTGAACAGTCAATATGGTCCCTGTTGAGTCCATGATTTTTTAATTAATAATTCTCACCTATGTCTGTTATGAGAGTGTTAATTGGAAGGACTTGCCTTGCACATTTGTGTCCGCTTTGCCACACGGAACCCATTTTCCTCCTTGGAATCTCCAATGGTTGGGGTCGGCCAAAATCACGTCCACGAATATATTATAATGCGCCGTCGGGTCAAGTCCAGAAATATTAAAACTCAAAAATGGAAACATCCGTCTGGAAATAACAAGAAGAGTTTTAATGAATAGTGACCATTTATTATTAAAACGATAAGTCTTGTTTGGATTTTATTTCTCTATGAGTAAAAACGGGGGGAAATTCAAGGTTCTTCGCTCTTACAGCAATATAGTTGTAATACATTTATAACGCTTCAAGAAAACAGATGAATGACAAATAGGAAGCTGCACCTGTTCTCTAAGACATTGCTTCAATATGATAAAGTTACATTAAAGAAGTAAAAAATCGTAAACAAAGAAAAGTCACTAGGCACTGAAATATCAGTCAGATATTTCTCTCCATCACAGCAGTTAATAATAATATTTACGTTTTAACCAAAACATGTGACCCATACAGACCTGGTGTAAATCATAAGGTCAAAACCTCGTTAATAATAATAATAATAATAATAATAATAATAATAATAATAAAATGGTACTAGTGTAGAAAAACTGAGCAAGTACAACAGGAGTTAGATTTTTTTAAATAAATTTGAACATTTTCTCAGTGCATCTCTAAATATTTTAAGTGAGCTGCATTTGGTTAATCATGCCGTTGTTTTCAATTGTAGAAAGCAGATTAAAAATAGTTATGCATCCAAACCGAATGGGTAAACTAAATCTAGTACGCAGGCAGTTTCACAGTTCGATCGTTTCTATCGGAAGATGGTTTAAAACCTTCGCAGTTAGCATATTCAACTTTTAACAGCGTACCGTGTTTTTCTCTCGTCTCTATCGAGTTCGTCTTCATCGAACGCACGGCCGTCTTAAATCGGGAAACCCAAAATAATGGTCACCTACCTTCCTTGCTTGGTTATAATCATCTCGGTTTGATGCCTGTGGAACTTGAGCCACAGTGCCCTGTTGCACAAATAGACCTGGGCTTTACCAGGAACTAGCCCAGGCTGTGCAGAAGAAAACTGGTAGAACGGTCCTCCTTGGTAGGAATGGCCATACTGCTGGGCGTAAGGGTATCCAGCAGTTGGGTAGCCTTGCGGAGAGGTGTTAGACAGAAGGCTGTTGTATGCTCCATTGGTAATCACTGGGTGATGAGCCATGTATCGGCTCGGACTTCCAATAGAGAAAGCTGGATGCGTTGGTCCATGCTGACTTGGGTAAGGGAACATTGCACTAGGTGCAGCGGAGGCAGGCTGGGGTTGGCTAGATTGAGACAGCAGATACCTTTCTGCCGCAGATCCATCGAAATTATGACGAATTTCAGAGACCCCGTCCAGAACAGGAGATAGTTTGCTTCTCTGGACGTCCCCCGGTGCGTCCTTGGAGTCAGGAAAATTGTCTGCCTCTGACTGATTCGTCATCCCCCTGGAAATTTTTTTCAGAGGTGAACTTCTCTCCAGGTTGTCAGTGGAGGATATAATAGGATGGTCCTGCAAGGCAAGCTCAGATCCGCCTGAGTTTGGGTAACTACTGCTCACATTTAGAAATTTCTTGGAGAGCATGATAGATGGTGAGAGGCAATGCTCCAGCTGCATAGCTCTTTAAACAAAAGCGATTCACGCAACCTTTGTGAAACCTCTCCTCGGTTAACTTAACGCCCCAAAAATCTAGTTTGAAAGAAAACGCCTTCCCGTGGTTTGATCTAGTTTTTGTTAGACAGCCGATTAGCCAATTGACACTATGCTGTAATCAGACAAGGTTGCTTTTGATCCTTCTGCCAGCAATGCTAATGAAACGACTTTTGCTATTGGTTCGTTGCTGACAGTAATTTAATTAGACAGACATTAATTACGATAATCATCTGGGTCCTAATCGCAAAGATAGCAAATAGCGAGAGATGCACACAGACGCGATACGGGGTCTCTCTGTGACTATCAAAGATAGTTCTTTGTTTTGGACAATTCGATCTTAGAAAGTGGACCCAAATATTTCAAAGTATTTTAAATTAGGCTTGTGCTATTTATCCATTTGTGATATTACCACCCACGCAATAAATGAAATATAAACATAAATGAACACATAAAGCCTTTACATAAATGTGCATGAAATACATATTTTTCAGTTTATTTTACTAGAATTTTTAATTATTTGAAAATGGTAGATAGCGCACCGGTTTCCCCAAGAGCAAAAGCGAACCATTTTTTCTAGTGCATTTAATCTGTTAAAAAAAAAACAATTTATAGGTGACACATTATAGAGGGAAATGGGAACAATATTTACCCATTAACGTAGCAAGAGTAGCAAAGTATGTTTATGAGTGAAACAATTTATTATTAAAATACAGAAGATGACAGCACACTTCATGCCTTAAAATGTTGGTGATATAGCGTGAAATGATTCAGTACCTTTAAAGATGTGTTTACCGGTCCCGTAGCAAATGAATATTTTATGTTGGTACTTAGGACTCGATATGAATCAAAACGCAGAAGTCACCTAATAGAAAATGCATTCACCAAATGAAAAGCGTTAAATACCTCTTGGCTTCCAAGGTATTTTTTGACATTATATAATTAAATTCGCTCTCTGTCTATATATATGCGTGTGTATATACAGTATGAAGGTCGCAGTTAGCCTAGTATAGTTACAGACTGTTAAGCCGACCGTGGTGAAGCAATACAACTTTAATGCGTTAGAGCATTCCGTTCGATGTTGAAGTACCTCCTTCTTTGCCAGAATTCGTATAATGACATATATGTATTTTAAAAATCAATTTCCGCAGACGCTGAATCTTAAAACAACAAAATTTTGATTTTTGAAACTGTCTACGAAGCAGGCCTATACATTACAAACATCTGAAATCAAGTTTCAGATGAAAGTTTATGAAGAGTACACATGTAATACATTAATTAGATCCACAAGCACTCAAATAATTTAAAAGGGCCGTTTTATATGGTAAGAAAAAGACAAGAATAAAGCTTGTGGTCAATAATATTCACTCTCGCTATACTCGGAACATTTCGCTTAGAAATCAAGAAAAAACATTTTTAACAAAGAATTACAATCCGGTGAACGGCGAATAGGTAGTTGAGTTTTCCTGAGGAAAAAAAAAATATTCCCCAGCGAATTTCATCTTCTCAGCAGGAACTGGACCAATTATTTTTCTGTGTGAGAGACTTCTTGATGTGGAGGACTGTGACAGCGTTTCTTGCCAAAACTGGAGCAAAACAGATAGCGGACCGGCCAAGGTTTGAGGCTGAACGCTAAATTAACTCAGGAAAAAGTGTTGATTTCTGCATCTAGCAAATGCAAAATATAATCTAGACTTTGCACATCTTAATACATAACCGCAGGGTTACTACAATCGGATGGCTCAAGTCAGTGATACCCGGGCTTGCAGAGCAAACTATACGATTTCGTTGATAAAGATTTTTCTCCTATACCACATCCATTGTATCAGCACCTAAACATTCAGAATTTAGTCAGGAAAAGAACAGCACAGTGTACAGTGACTGTGTACTTAAACATTACAGCTAACCATTCATATCAAAACTGATGATGAAATATGTATCTTACAAACTAAAACGAAAATGTAAGAAACGTTTTTCTATTTTTAAATGGTATTTACAAGGGGAACTAATGTTACATCAACAATTCCATTATAACATTCTATGCAGCAATGTAAAAAATCTGCCAAAGCCTTAACCGTCAGACAAAAGGTGTAAAGGCAGGACTACATCCTTGACTGGACAGCAGTCTGGCACAGGGCAAACACACACGCTGGACTAATCATAGGCTGCCATTAACCTAGCCAACTGGTCTTTAAAAACTGGGTGCAACCCAGAACACCTGGACAAAACACATGCAAACTCCACACAGAAAGCACCCCATTCCAGAATCAAAGCCAGTAGTGCACTTGAAGATGTCTACCTTAGCTGGCACTGTAAGGGATTAGTTTTTCCCCCCTTAAAATGACACTGTTGCCATGCACACATGCAATCAACTATGGGTTGTCCAGTGAGAAACACTACATTTGAGGAAATGCAAGGTGTAAGGCAAATGATTCAAACCACCTTCCTCTTTATTTCAGCAACTAATTAGCTATCTGTGGGTGGACTCAGGAAGGACTTCAAGCCCTCAAGAAGGTGGAACAAGAATGTGAAAGGGTTCCTCACCTTTTTATTATACAACATCCAACATTTTTTTTTTTGCAACTGCTTAGAGTCTCATTAACATGCATAAGTATTCTGACATCCCAGGCCTTTGTTTCAGAAATAGATTTTAAATATAGTTCACTTTTATCATTCCAAGCTCCTGAACAAAGCTGTTTCTATATAGTCTTGCATCCGAAAAATCAAATGGCTCTTTTAAAACATTTCACACTGATAATGCAGAAAACAGAAAACAATTTTGAAAAATAATCAAAAATGGGATTACTTTATTTTAAAATTCTCAATGTTTTATGTTCAAAGAAATAACCAGTCAACATTAAGCATTGGCAGTTAAAGATCAAGGTTCTGAATTTGTCATCTTTGTCTTTATTTTTAAGAGGTGATAAATATCACTACATACAAATAAATCCTGATCTTTACAGATATTTCAAGAAAATTGCAAAGTAGCATTCACCTGCACCTGATATTTTAAGAAAACCATGACGAAATAGTATTCTCCTGCACCTGAACCAAAAAACAAAAAGCATTCCTCCTAGCATGTAAAACTGACAAACTGTACATTAACTGAAGTTTTGTGCAACATCAGTGATGGGGCCAGACATTTATTCTGAGGGAATTAATTAGCGGCAATATGTTCACAAACATGTTATACAAGTTACTGTTTTTTTTTAAAAAAACTGAAGTAAAAAGTAAAGAATAAGTATGACTTTTAAACAAAGGCTGCACTACTGAAAGACCACTGTGTCCAACATGGCAGCTAAGCACTGCACAATATTTGATGTCATCAGAACGTCAACATGTTCTTCTAAATGACGTTTTGGATCCTGTGAAGAAAGAAAAATGTTATTTGTTAAACATTTAAGTTGCCAAAGGCAACTAAGATGGTTCATTTGTTGTAACAAAACATTTTTATTTTTAACATGGAAAAGCACCTTTACATCTTTGGATATAATAAAAAAATCCAATACATAACTGTTCAGTTGAACATCACATACATTCCAAAAGAGGAAATCAAGATGAAAAAATTAGCTTAAAAATTACAGACAAAAAGCCCACATCTGTAAAAAAAACCTAAGATGTATACCTAGGGAAATGAAAATATCCTTATTTCTCAGTTTTACCAATTAAAAAATATCAAAGCAAACTGATTACATTTAAGAAAATGTCTTAAACACCTCTGTTTCAATTTTGCATACAGAATTTAGAACTCTATATGAGTTTCATAGATTATACTTGGAATTCCATCACATATTGTATGGCATGGAATTATTTACATTTTAGTATTTTATTAAATTTAAAAATACTGAGACTCTTCTTAGTAAACAGTAATGCTCATAAAAAACAAATAACTTGCCTGTTTTCCAACATTTTTTATTGCCAGCTGTTCAGGGGTCATCTTATCCTCCTCTTCTACAGCCTAAAATTAGGAACAAAAATATTTAATTTTTGTGTTTATAGTGATTTAAAGATGTTTTGGAAGCCTGTCTCAGAAGCATCTTTTAATCATTTCTGGAAATTTCAATAATTTAATTAATTCTTGTACATTTAACACGATCTAAATTCTGCTTAAGGTAGCGAGCGCACTGTTAGTTTTATCAAAGAGCTAAAGCTGTAACAAAATGAAGTGTTACTTGAGGCTTGGTGGTATCACAATGCAAGCAGCCACAAGCTGTTCTGAAGTGGATACTGATTGTCCATTAGTTTTTTTTCTCACTTGATTTGTAACAATGAAGTCTTTGAATAGTCTCACAAAGTCAACTCCAGTGTAACCACTAGGCTATTTGGCCAATAACCTTCTTGAAGGTAAAAAAGTCCAATTTGCTATCATTAAATAAAGGTCTTTATTGATGCGCTGCAAAGGGAAAAACAAGAAATCTTAATTTAATTGTAGTTAGAAAACAGCAAGTCTGTTGCTACATCACCTTGTTGTAGTTTTTGGCCAACTCAAGCATCTCCTTCACAATCGTTTCATTAAGCTTACAGTGTTCACTGTAATCCTGAAGGGTCAGTCCTTCCATCCAGCTCTTCTTATGCAAATTAAGCAGCATCTAAAAATAATATTTTTAGAGACATGCATGAAATGAAATTTAAAAGTAAATATATTACCTAGAAAATAGTGTTGTGTGCTGCGGTGCTGAAGGATGCCCACAAAGACTACCATTTATTTTGGGGTTTGGTAATTCTGGAAATCTGGGAGCAAGTCTGAGTAGGATTTAGATCTCCGAGTCTGTATACATTAATCATTTGGAGATCACCTATATGTTCACTTGGAGAACATAATCTGTTTTTAAGAGGCAGAACCAGGTTATAGGGAAAATACATAGTATTCAGTAAAGAGCACTGCCTACATGTGATTAGTAAATTGCTTTATTTTAACTTCAGTACTGTGATAATGGTAAACGACCCACCTTTGCAAAACATTACATCAATTGAAACCAAACAAAATGGTAAATTAGCTGCTAGCAGAGCTAGGTGGGTTGAATTGTTATCGTTTGCAACCCTTTTTATGTTTTTATATTCTTTAAAAGCTTCAAACGGTAATCTTAGTTTAGGTGTAAACTTAGGTTTATTGTTTAAACTGCATCCTATTTAACTAATTCAACATCTAAACATCTGTTGTGAGGTTTTAATGCATCAAAATTAATAAATATGGGCTCTGACTGTTAAAACAAAAATCAATTTGATAAAATGTTCCTGTCTGTTCCGTAGTTTTGAGAAATAACTCCCATTCAAAATCAGTACAGAGAACACAAATGTCTCTTGTTACACTGTCTAAATCTTAAAGACTCAATCAACCTTACATTAACAAAATCTAAAAACAGTACAATGAAGAGACTACAAACCTTCTGTTCTAGTTCATTTTTCCTGTAGTTGATGGTAATTGAGTAATAATGCCTGTTCAATCCATGGATTAAAGCCTGCAAAAGAAACCGAGGTTTAAGTAATGTACAGTGATAGATTAAACAATTATGAAAAACATTACATTAAGGTTGACAGCTCTGTGGAGTACAAAGGAAACAATTTTTGAACATGATTCTCAAAGATTACAATATATTAAAGTTTTGATATCATTCAGCCACCTACAAAGTACTATTAAGATTCTTAAACTACTTTATCAAGATTCAAACATGAATTGGAAACCCCATGTGTACTGATTTTAGAGTGGAAAGAATTTGCTTTAATGTGTAAGAATTTAATTTTGATTTAAAATATGGCTTGCAATTTTTTTTTAGAGTACCTAGTGCAAACCAATTAATATTACTTTAGGATACCAATTAAAAGTACCACATGTTACTTCTTAGTGACCACAGTGGTTATATTTAAAGTGCATCACACTGTTTGTGACAAAGGCTATGTAGGGTTTCAAATCACATGGGTAAACCCTGCAGGTCAATTACATTAGCCAACATCTTTTAAAGAAGTGTTAGAGGTAAAGAGAAGAATTACTTCTCTCATTCAGACAATGTGCATTGTTTTATTAAAATTGAAAAGACAAAAAATATTGTTTTTTTTCCACTGGATACATTTAAATGTGCAAAACTCTTTGTATGATATTCCGACACAGGCTTTGTGGAACCACAAATTGTTTATATAATAATGAAGAGGTCTGAAGCTATAAGGTTAACGAGAGAGGTCATTACAGCTGTGCAATAAGGTCCAGTAATCTATTCTCTTGAAACATACAAGCATGGACTTGCCTATGCCCAATCAAGAGGCCAGACCATTTCCTACTCATTATGGTTCACTTTAACATCCACAGCAGACCTGTAGTTAAGGCTGTTTTTTTTTTCTATACCCACTGCAGGCAAGGGAACAATTCAGTTCCATGGTTTATTTGTCTTACTTTTAAAAGTTATTTGCATTCGACTAAGCTAGTTACACAACTAACCGAATCGGAACCCAGAATCTCTGAGGAACACCTGTAATTATTAATGACAACGCTATCTAAACCTCAGGGTTTTTTTGGGATGGGGAGGGAGGTAGTTGCAGCTATTTGTTTACTCATATGTGTTTTACTGTAGACATAACCATTAACTTTGAAAATCTTGATAGAAATAATTGGGCAATAATAAAAGTGGAGATTTTCTTACCATGTTAAATTAGCTTTATTTCTGTACATCAGTAGATCACAGAATTCTAATAACGACATACCTTACTTGTTTATTATTTGCAAAACTGGCAATCTTTTTTAGAGAGCACATTTTAATTGAACACTAGATGCAAATATCATTCCCTAAATACATATTATATTGGTAATAACATCTTTGTAATCAATAATAATTAAATCCCATATTTATTGGACATTCCTACATTTAACTTGCTCATTCTATAAAAAACACAAGGTTAAGATGAAATAATTTTTAACATTAATTCATTAAACCAATAAATATCATCTCAAATATAATTGCTCAGTTTCAGAAATCATCCATTCAAATGTGAACAGTTCAAACTTACTATTGCATTACATAAACCACTAACACACATTATTTGGCAGAGTGGTTTAAGGCACAGCTTAACTCTTAAGAGCTGGTTCACTGAGCATGGAATAGAATACCACTTATTACCAACATTCACACACCACCTACTTCTCCCTTTTTGCTTAAAGCAGGGTTTACTGTAAAGTTTTAGAAGAGGAAACCACTGCTCAATTCTGTTAATAAAATAGAGATATGCTTGTATTTACCAGGCTAATATCAATTACACACTACAAAACATAAATTGCACGTTCATCATTTCATTATGGATATCAGAATTTTATGGCAGCTGTATCAGTACATAAGAGTACATCAGTGAGTTACTGGGTTACTTGCGTATAAGCAACAACCCAGAGTGTCTAATCATATTTTTTTCAGCATTCCCTTTAGAAATGATAAATATAGCAATCCAAACATTAACCAAAGCTTCTATCCAACCTTTCCAATTTTCTTTCTTACCTGGATGGATGGCTTGTTTAAATGACCTAGGTTTGATGTGGTTTGCCTTGGTTCATGTCCCAGAACCATCATATTGGCATTGATCAGTCTGAAGGCATCAATAACAACCTATGAAAACAAGATGTAATGTCAAATGTGTTCACAAACTGCATGCAAAAGGGCAAAATCCACAACACATGCACATCTGCTTTTGGATATCTTCCAGATAATTTTAATGAAAAAACTATAACAGAAGGAATTTCCTGCTGATCGCACCATAGGAAAAGTGCCATTTAAATTAGTATTTAAGTTGACAACATTAATGGCAATTTTTGTGCAGGCCTTGTTCATCGTTTTAAATATTCAAGAAAAGGGTATGATTTTCAATGTAGGCTTTTATGTGACGCAAAATTGTATGGCAATGATTTCTATAGCTTATTGTTCCATACATGTTTTTCCACCCAGGTCTAATTTAATCAATGTGAATGACAAGGAGAGAAAAAGACTGAAAGTGAGCACTGGCTTAGGGAGTTTATCTAATGCCCAGTACTGTCACATCAAAGGCATGATCACTATACTCGAAATGACAACAAAATTATAGCCAGTAAGGAATGCAGCCCTAGTATACTGCTCAAGTCAGATGCTATTGCTTTTTCTGACTATAAAATATTCTTCCATGTCTGATGGATAAACATGACCCATCAGTGTTGTAATAAGGGCTCTGCAAACCCAGAGAAGAGTAAATCCAAGGTTATTTGCGATTCATGACAGGTAGTGGCTTATATTACAGTGTCACTAAAATTTTTATGTGAATGCATTTAAGATTGCCTCTAAGTTATTTATGTGATGTTATTGAAATACATTTCTCCAGACTATTTTGAACTCATATTTATGACAAAATAAGAGCAAATAAACATCCAGCATATATTTTTGCATCTTTGCTTTAAAGAAGGTGGCGATTTCAAATTTGCAGAAATTAACTAATAACTAATAATTTCCCACATTTACACAAACAGTATTTACATGTCCCAGAACTTTTTTCTTTCCTAAATCTGGTTTACTATTGTCACAAAGGATCAGTCTCTAATGTGGAAAGGAAAGCCAGTGGTCTACGGAGGACTGCCTGGACAGTTGTGGGTTTTAAACCCTTATTAGCTTACTTTCCCGAGATGAAGGTACTTGTTGTCCCTAGAGATCAGCTTCTGTTTCTCATTATTTTACACCTTTTAATGCTTAATAGCGGACATCTTTAAGAAAAGGATTTTAAAATTTGAGGCCTAGAAACAACAACAGAGTCATGTTTTGTAATTGACAGTCAACAATTTCAGTGACAAAACTGAAATCTCCCTTCTGTGATGACAGGTGGACAAATGTCTCATTCTCTTCAATTCAGTTTATTGTCATATGCAATGAAATGCTTATTTGCATGCATGCTCCAATACAAAGACATTAAGGAAACACCAAAAACAAACACAGAACAGCAGCAGCAACACATAAACATAACATCCACCACAGGACAATTCAAGTTTTCATCCTCACAATTTCCATTGTGTATTCAAAGAGTAAGATACATATAGGATATATAAAATGGAAAATAATTCTGGTAATAACTTGTGGTTTTGAAAGAACTGATTATTTTTAGTACTGGGTACAGAGCATGGTGAGATTAAGAACATCTATGCAAAAGAAAAAAATGGATTACAACATGCATGACATAAAACGGCTCCCATTTAGAAGCAGCAGGTGCAGTGCATTGATTAACCTAAGCCAGAGAACCCCAGGTTAACTCATCTGTTCCTACTTTCCAGACAAACCTTGAATTCCTCTGAACTTTGATAATGACACTTTTGGGTTGGTGTAGTAGATTTTATTTAACCTCAGATACTCTGGCTACATTCTTTCCAATTCTTATTTTTCTGTGTAACAGCATCACATAAAACAAAAAAAATACCCCCCCACCTAAAGCTCTAGTGCTGAATATTACATTTAAAGACATCAAAACCTAAACAACTACTATACTGTCATCTTGCTCTTTAGAGCATTTGTTCATGTATTTTTCCAGAGAATAACTTATTTACATGTACCATATAAAATAAATTTCTGTTATCTGGTATGAACAATGTGACTAAAATATTACAGTCACAGAATTCAAAATATATGGACTAAATGATTTCCTAGTACTGTCAACAACCACTTAATATATACATATGCAATATCTGCATGCTCACATTTTCATTTTAATCTATCGATGTAGTATAGCAATACAAGACCTGCACTAATCCTCAGTAAATGAGAAATTAAATTATCGCCAACAGTCTAATTTCATAAAAATGAATGATTTGTTTGATTTATTCTATGTAGTTTAATATTAACCTACAACCTGATGTTAGAACACATTAACTTGGCAAATGCAAGACAAAAATAGTTAACAGTGAATTCTGTATTACTAATTGCTTTTTTTGGAGCAGAGAATAAAATAAAATGCCTCATTAATGTCCAGTGTACTAATGAGGGGAGGGTGAAGTAGGTGTTAATGATGCCACAGATGATTCTGTAACAATTCAGGTGGAGAAACTGTTGTGTTGCTGAAGAAAACTCATTTAAGTATTACAGAAATTCAGCACAACTAACCCAGTGCATCCTGGACTAGTCAACACAGTTATGACAGAAATATTTTTACCTAGTCATTTGTCCATAGAGGCAAATGTAGTACAAAAGGGAAAAAAAAACAATGATGGCCTTCTCATTGAGTACAGATTTGATGCTGCATTTGAAAATCTGTGATTTCAGCAGCATTTGTAACTCTTGAATTCACTACTTAATGAGGCAAACACTAAACATAATGCACTCCAATGAAATGGCATTTCCATCATAAATGTCTACAAGTGTAATCAAGGTACAACGATAAAAGAATTCTTAAAGCAACATGCAGTCTGTTTGGAAGAATGTTTACACTATTTCATAAAATATCAGAATATATGGCTGTTTGAAACCAAATGCCTCATTACCAGTTTGGTTCTCAACGCCTCTTTTCCAAGTACACACACAAGCAAAGACAATGCTAACTTTGAACCAAGCCTGGTCTTACACGACTTGCATATTGATAGCTATGGTAACTTCACATGGAGAGTAGCATGGAATAAAACCTTCCTGGTGAGAGCACCAACCTGACATCTTAAGAGAAATATATTGGGATATTAATTATTTCTTGTCTTTAGAACTGCCAATTATTTTTACACACCCACCCTATTTGGAATAGCCAGTGGTGTGTTTATTCATCGCTCCTAGCTATGAACCCCATGACTGCACACATGGGAGAAGAAGCAAGTTTAGGCAGACTCCTCTGACCCACCCACCTCTAAGCCATCCGTTTTTTAGCACATCTTTTAAGGCAACACAACCCCATACCAGAGGTTCATCACTGGCTGTAGGAGAGGCATGTCCCTCAGCTACAGCACCACATGCCTGTAAGTACCCAGGAAACCGCAGAGGTCACTGCCTTGCAGAGAAGTTCTGAGTGACTAGTGCCATCCTACTCTCTATGTTGCTCAGGTAGAGGCCCAGGCTCGAACCTGTAATCATTGAGCTCAATCTGCACTTGGGTGAGCGCCTCTACTGATGAAACACATGGGATGCCCATCATTTGTTTTTAACAAATCTGAGCACATACCTTATCATTTTGGATAGAAGTTTTCAGTTCTTAAATTGTAAACAAACCTCAGCTACTTTGCCAGACCCAGACTGAATGTGTCTTCCTGTAATCTACAGCACGGTGAGAAGCCATCTTCTTCGCACCAGCTGAAGCCAAGCGACGAGAAATGTCAGTAACTCCACCTCCAGCCGGGTTATGAAGCAAGAGTTTCACAGGCTAGATCACGTGCTACTCAGCAAAACAGCCAGTGGAAAACCAACAGGAACCGTGTATACAGAGCCCCATGGAGGTTAATCCTTTACTGTATAGTCACACTTCAGAAGCCTCCTTAGTTGTTGTATGACTCAAAAATCCACAGAAAAAGTAAACAGGTCCTTATGGTATTTACAGGATTTCTTTCGTTTTCTATTTTGAATCTTTAATTTAAAGGATTATCTTGGCTGCTTTGTAACGGGCATGTAATTGTTAAGGTACTTGAAAAGTGTGAAAAGTTAATAAAACAACTCCAGTCCACTTTCAGCTACAAAAAAAAAAGATGTTGTCAAATATCTATGTAACTCAAAGATGTTGCATTAAATTTAATTCTATTGTAGGTAAATCAAAGTATTTTCAGCACTCTGTGAAACTCCAGAAACTTGATGTCCTAGTAATACACCTGTAATAGGAGTTAACTTATGTAAATAAAAATTTCAATGTTTTGCACACTAAAACCGAATTTTATAAATATAGCAAACAGAACATGTAAATAGTATAAATAAGTGGATGTTCAGAAATTGTCAATTTAATTATTTAGAAAGAATGTTTCTAACCTATTACACTTAAAAACAAAAACTGAAAAAACTCAAAATTGATTTCATTTTTCATTTAATGGCCACCAACAGGTTTATCTGTACCACACAATATCTATTAAACCATGGACACGAACATTTTTTTTTAAACGAATCGAAAGATATTATATCAAAAATCACAAAGTGGAGAAAAGGGCTAATGTCCCATCTAAAACTTCTTTTATCACCTGCAACTGACCTGTTATCAACTGTTCAGTTTGTTGCTGGTTTCTTTAATAATTAAGGGAAACGTGTGACCTTGGAAGTGCAGCTGGGGTTTGCGACCATTTTGTTATTTATGCTGCCATGCACTGTCAGACATCTACAAGTGAAAAACATCATCTACTGTCCCTGGTAGGCCCACGGCATAAAAAATTCAGGTAAATCTTACTTTTTATGCCATTTTTGATGAAAAGCGCACAGAAATGAAACTGACTTATGCCAAATGAATATCACTGAATCGCTGTGATTGTGGGGTTGATGTTTGTAACATTGAAATTATTTATAAAACATCAATTTTAGCTTAAGAAAAGCAATGCCATGAAGTGTGTGCATTTCCTTGGTCTCCTTAGAGATTCTCCACATATTTGGCCTCAAACCTGAAAGAAAATATCTATATTGCAACAATATTCAGCATTTCTTCTGTAAGGAGGTCAAAATGCTACACTGTTTCTCACACAACTTAGACATTGCTATAGCCCTGAAATCTGCATGCAAAGCTTAGGCCAAAAGAAAGAAAAAGAGCATTGAGATTTTATTTGCAAACTAATTTAGCAAATTAGATGTAACTGAAAAAATATTTTACAATTAAAATGTATTTATCAATTATTAGCAGAGGACAAATAAAAAATAATAATAATGTAAATAGTGCATTAATATCTCACAATGTTAAATGATACACAACATCTGACTGGTTTAAATAAAATGTCTGAAAATTGTCTGAGCCATTTCTGATGATGACAATTAGGCAGTGCAAATCAAGCACTAAACCAGTAATTAAATTATAAATCATTTTGTATAAAAAGCTGTTGCTTATTGAAATGAAAAAAAGACCTTGTGGAACAGTGTGTCTAAAACCTAAGGACAGCACAGAATGCTGTTTTGGAATCTGAAAAGGGAGTGAACAATAGATTGATTGCCATATTACAACCGTAGACTCAATTAAAATAGCAGGCTGAAATCACAGTCGAATGAGAAAGTCATTAAAAATGCAGCGTGAAAAGTGCAGCCTGAGGATTATCGCTCAAACTCATGTTTAATTTATAGAGTTGCAACACAGTCAGTCTTTTTTTATTCTCAAGCAAAACAGGTTTAATACCAAAATAATTGTGGCAGATAAAAAAAAAATCAGTAGTGTGATATTATGAAAAGGACCAGTAGAGAATCCATGGAGAAAAATATTTTAAATATTTAAAAATTAGGCGAAAAAATAAAGCAATTGAGAATAAAGAAAAGCTTTCTGTTTAAGGTCTTTAAAAACCAGACATCTGTTGTGCTAAGGCTTTAATGATGTATCATATACATCATTTTTGAGTACAGACATGAAATACAGTTAATACAGAAAATGTTTTCACCAATACTTGTGTAGAAATTAGATTAATGTCTCAAAAAATATATAGTAAACCATAGGGGTACATGCTGGAACAACACGCCCCAGCAGAAGTTTAATGCAGTAAAGCCCTAAGTCAATTTCTTTATGTGCTGCAGTCTTTCTTATTCACCCTCCCAATGGCAAAGCAAAATCGAATTGCCTCTCACATTTAGAGACAGCTCTGTGAAGGTGATAATAGAGCTGCTCCCTGCTGTCTGGAGGCAGGAAATAGGAAAATGGCATATGGGGCCAAAATAGGAATAGAAAAGAAAGACGACCAAACAAGGGGGAAAAAGAAATAAAGGTTAACATAATCCAGAATTTTATCAAGAAGAAGAATGGTTATTACTGCAAACCTAAACAGTATATCAAAACCTAAACTATCCATTTTGAATACCCATCAGCAATTAAAACACATTCACACATTATTTAAATCCAGTAGTGCTCCTTATTGAGTTGGAGTATAATATTAATTTTATAAATGAAAAGAATGTTAAGCCTTACTCAGAAACAAAATAAGGGTGCAAGCAGGATACCTTTCACTATGAACTTAAATACACTAAAATTAGTTTGCATTTTTTTTTCAAACTAGTAAACAGCATTACAGTACAATGACATTTTTTAAAACATATATGTTGTGAAATTAAAATGGAAAACACAGCAGTGCCAAAATTAGAATGCCTCTATATAAAATATATGCACTCACCAAACAATGCGACACGAAAGACTTAAACAACTTAGTTTTCTTGCATGAATATGCACAGATAAAAAATGACAGTACCTTTCCTTTAACACTCTGAATAGGGTCCACTACTACAGCAACAGCCCGCTCTGACAGGGCTTCAAAGCTCTGCTGAGTGTTGATATCCACGCCAGACAGCCAGCACCCAAAGCCAGGGTGACTGTGGTACCAACCAACCACCATCTCTGGCCTGAAACAGACAGGGCATTGAGAGGAAGAGCCTTAACTGTACAGAGAATGAACTCCACACTCAAAATGAAAGAGGATCTCAACAAAATGGGTATAAATTGGGCAGGGTACAGGGAAACACAGGTGTGAAAAAAAACATGGGTAAAAAAATGCTTCTTTCATCATGCCATAGTGAAAACATGAAAATGAAGAAAGTGCGACAAAGGAGTGTTATCATTAAGGGGATGTGCATTAGCAGTGGAAGATCATGCTTTCAATTTTTCACCCTGTTACCACACCTTCTCTGAGCCAGTTTTTACCCTTTCAGCACTTGAGACTGAATATCCACCCTTTAAATATCAATTAAATCAGCAGTGGGACTAAGAACTCCGTCAAGAAGCAATTTGCACTATGTTGCTGGGCTGCTGAGCCTTTTGTTCACATTAATTTTGAAGTTTTTCACAGTAAAGGTATTTGAGCAAGCAGATGACAACTGTTGAAGGGCATAAATGGTATAACATATGACTATAATACTGTCTTATGTCTTCATAGTAAAAAATACAAATGCATATTACCAGGCAAGTGCACACACACAAATAACCAGCTACAAAAAATGTTAACAAATTGTACTAATGTACAATACAAATAATGCATATTTACCTTCCAGTCTGCTTAAGCATATCTAACATTTTAGCTTGAAAGACAGGGTCAACTGCTTCAACACTGACTCCCTGTTTAAAAAAGCAATTTCATTAGTCCTTTTTTAATAGCCTATAAAACAAAATTCCCCCAAAAACTTGTCCCCCAGATCGTGTGAAACGAATGTGTATGAGAATAGAATAGTGTATATGACTCCTTCACAGTGTCACTTTAATACCGCAATGAAGGAAGTGAATAACACTACAAATGCCTAACAATTTAGATTTATATTGATACATCTAAATTGAGCACATCTTTTTTAGCAGTAAAAATGCAAAATTACAGCAACCAATTACAGCACAACTCAAAAGATTAAAACTAAAAGAAAAATTACCTTTAAGGTTACTAATGACTGCTACACATAAGTGTTTTGATATCCCCAATTTTTTTTTTTTTAAAGGCACATATGGTACATATGTCAAACAGCTACATATGCTGATTTATTTAACTGTGTGATGAACAGACAAAAGCTTAAATTTGTGGACTGATATTGTGAATGCCTCTGCACTTTTACTTTAGAAATGATTATTATAATAAAAAAAGAGTACTCACCGTTCCTGATTGAGGCATCGCAAACACATCAATCACTCTGACGGTGTAGTCATCCACAAATTCCCCCAGCATCAAACCCATGACTTCCATCGGAACACCAGCCCGCCCATGTTTCAACATCTGTGTAATAAAAAATTACAGTAATGGAAAGATTTAAAACGAGTTCTAAACATTAGCAAACGAACACAATGAAAATGCATCTTACCTTACTACAATTTTCCTACAAGTAATTATAAACAGTGGTTAATTAAGTAACCTGTTTCTCAATCAACATCACGTCATTAATAGTTGTCAGAGCAGCAGTTAAAGACTTTTAGTGCCACATGTCACCGGCACTTTTTTTCTTTAAAGCAGCCTTCAGGATAATTTGAACCTGACAAGTTATCACTATAATGTGGAGGTGACATGACACGGTCTTCAAAGGCAAAATAATCAATGTGAGCGACAAAGAAACAGAACCAACAGTGATTTGAAGTATTTCACTTAGTAGTTCTTAAGCATAACAAAACGAAGCATCAAAGTTAATAAAGCAGAATAAAAAAAACTACTTTTTGATTAATTATTTTGTGGGTTTCATGAATATTCATTTTCTTACCTTCAGCAACGCAAGGGAAGAAATGTACACTTGTTCTGCTGTATCTACTGCTGGGGCATCGGTTGGAGGACCCTGAATGGAAAAAAATGCATACTTTCTACACAATTTCTAGGATTTGTGTTTAATACAGAAAGAAAACTGCAAGATTTAAAATGTTATAGTTTTGAGATACATAAAACAGCTTATATACCCATTACATGGTGGTTTCCTTCTCTGGTTATAATGGGAGATCAATTTCCCTCTTGAACTATCTCTGGATAGGGTATCTAATTCAAAAACAGTAATACTCCTGTATCATTTCAATCATGTAACAGAAACTTTAATTCCACTACTGTTACATTAGGCTAGCATTCTTACATTTTCAAGAGTAATAGAAAGGGGGCAATAAAATATATTGTAAATAAACATTTTTCCTTGTACTTAAAATGAAATTTATATATCTAGCACATTCACAAATATGAAATGAATTCTTGGATAGTGAGATTCCCCTAGTTTTAATTGCATAGCACTCATATACAGTATGGAACATATTCATACACAACACAAGCCATTATTGGTTATACTGACAAGCTTGGTTTAAAAGCTGTGTGTAGGTATAGTATTAAAAACAAAAAGTATCTAATCACCTAGGCTAATACACAGCCTGCCTAGTGACGTAAACCACTGTCATTTTCCCTTTGTCAAAAGTCTTTGATTCAGCAATTATCTGTGCGATTCTAATGGTGGTGTGAAGTAAACACCACTGGGCTGAGTAATAATCAACACAGCAAACAACAATCTTCTTGGCACTAGCAGTTTGAGTTCTAAAGATAACTTGCAGATTAGGGCACTGGGAACGCTTTGCAGGTATCTGCCACAGGTACAGCAGGAGAGAATTGTATTCACTATCCCCAGGTAGAAAAGCTGTGAACAAAATACACAGCTATTTGTCTTGCGCTAAATTAAAAAAAATTAACACAATTTCTTCCAGATCATCAGTACACTGTCAGACACTGCTAAACATGTTTTTGTACAAGTTTTTATTCCACTTTTATTAACAAATGCAATGTGTCCTTTATATAGGCAAAAATGAAAACAAGATGAATTGCTTTGTCTTCTAACAAGTCTGACTGTAAAGCTTGACCTGATTTTGCTCACTATGGTCTCATAGCTAGGTTTTCCTCCAAATTTTTACAAAATGACACATTGTCACATTTTTCCATTATAAAGTTTCATTTTTGCACTTTCTTGTGCCAGAAGGGGAAAGAGTAGGGGGCGTTGTTTGGAAGAATACTGTAGCTACTCTAGGCATAAGAACTTGAAATTAGGTCGTATTTCTTCCTCTTAAATGTGTAAATGTACATATGAGCTAGCATTTCAATTCGGAATATGTCTACACTTCAAAACCTCATTTTCTCTCCATCTTGACAGCATCTGCTCAGGTACTAAGTGGGATTGTGTACAGAGAGTACATATGTAATTCTACACAGCTTTATGCATGCCAGATTAAATCTTGTGGTTTTAAATTTTCTGACATTTGGAGAAAAAGGTTAATTATTTTGTCATAATAGCTGCAATGCAGGGTATGTCTGTGATGCATTGTGAGTCACTTTTTCACAATCTTAAAATACAGTGAAGTGATAATATAGGCTTTCACCATTTTTTATTTAAAATGCATATCTTAGTTTTTCAAAGTTTCAAAGAAGCAGTTAAATTTCCTTTTACTGGTCAGAAATTACAGTGAGATCACTGTATAGACTCCAGGAAATGTTCGTGAAACCAAGGAATCAGATGTAAAAACAACGCTAATTTGTAATACAAAGTAGCCAAAGAGATTAAAACCAACAATCAATGTCGTTGAAGAAAGCCATTTCAATGATAAAATAATCAGCTTTACAGTGTCACAGTATACACAGGATTTAAGAATTGCAGAACCTCCCAAGTTGCTCAACTGGTAAATGTGCTCATCTGAGCATGGGGTGAGCTTGATGATCACAAGTTCAAGCCTGATTCACGTCACTAGCCGACTGGCACGATCCCGCAATCGGCGGTACACAATTGTCAATAGTAGGTGGAATTAGTGAGAACGCTTGATTCACAGAGACCACTGTAGCCACCTAGATGCGTACACGCATGTGGTGCTATTGGTGAGGGCTGTACCTCCTGTACTGGGCTATGACAAGTCAGAAGTGTTGGAAGCCAAATGTCTCATTGGTAGGCGGCTTAGAAGAGCCTGCCTTCACTTTCTCATTTTCCTTTCTGCCGTTATGGAAATTGCAGCAACAAGTCGAGAAAAACACACAATTGGCTTGTTTATATTGGAAAAGTATCATAAAAATAAAGGTGATTCAATTTTAAAAAAAAGAAAATAATGGTCTTGTACATAGACTAATCACTGCACATGCTTGGACCGACCGGGATAATTTTTAGTCAAAGGAATTTTAATACCAAACCAAGAACAAGAACTTCTGAAGACTAGGTATTAAAACAGATACAAACATTACTGATTAAATATTAACCAGTAATGGGTTTGTAGATGTTGTGTGTTAATTTCACTAACATTTTATAAACATTCTATTTTTGTCTTCTATCTTGTGTCAAAAAAACACAAATCACTTTTTTACTATAAGGTTAAAAAACCTTTAGTATATAAAACCACAAGGTATAGAGAGCCGAAAACTTTATCATATAAATTAGTCTTCAAAAGGTTTTACATCAAATTATTTTCAATATTGTTTAGCACCCTAACCAGTGAAGCTCTGCTTTATTCAAATGTAGGTGGATAAACAGAAAATCCATCCTCTAATGCCCTTTTCCAGGGCAAACAAAGTTACAAAAAACTCTTTTCAGATTTCTGGCTAAATGATACATACGTTGCTCATTTTAAGTTAAATATTTAAGTCTAATATGTACTTGGGTTAGATTTAAGCAAAAAGTCAAGATTCTGACTTCCAAACCATATATGTGGCAGAAGAAGTGATTCACCATCACATCCCCTTAGAACTGGCTGACGATTTCACGGCATCCTTCCTAATTGTTTTCGGACTGAGGAAAAGTATAAAATTCCTTATCCGTACACCTTGGCAAAGTGTCCTCATGGAATGCTTATACTTATTCAATTTTCTTACTTATTACTTATTATTTCTTACTTACTTATTCAAATATGGAAAGCTTGCATTTTTCCCAGCTAGTTAACTGGTGGTCAATGCAATTTAAACAAAACTAGACAGACTTGTTTAAGAGATTAGAGGCTGATACCGAGCTTGAAAGAATGATTTGCTATTAAAAGTGTTAATACATTTATAGGTAGTACGCATTAAGAACAACATTTGTGCTTTAGGTCTAAAGCACTAACTGCTGCTTTGGGTCTTCATTCAAGCACACTTTTTACCAGAAAAAAAAGCTATCAATTTAGAAAGCTAATTAAAATACCTGTTTATTCTAAGCATTAAATAGCAAACGATTAACATTTTAAAATATACAAATCATGCAACTCAAATGTTTGATAAAACCACAAACCACAAAGACAAAGAAACAGCATGCTCATTGGCACAAGAGTGATAGATCTCCAGAGGACTGATTAGACAAACAGAAACCAGCAACATTACATATGGTATGCCATTTTCACAGCTTCAGGATTAAGAAACGTAAAATGTTTCCTCTCACCAAGAAAGACTGATGAAGCCAGATTTACAATTACTCTGACTGCCTTGCAAAAAAAAAAATGTAATGCCTTCTCAAATTTCACAAAATAATCGTTTACTTAAAATAACTTCAGAATCTGTAGCACTTTTTATAAAAGGACCGAATATCATTTATTCTTTCAAAAATCATTGTCATCATCAAGATCAAGCAGCATGGCTCATAAAATATACTAGCAGATTCTGGGAGAAAAACTTGGGCATTAATGAAGCCCTCCACCCACTACTGTGAGGAAGTGTCAGTCAGTAAACTGGTCTGCCAGCATGGCTTTAAACTTTGCCCCAGCCAGATGGTTTATTAACACTCTACTAAATAGCTGGATTTGTGGGTAAACCTTAGTAATACAGATCACATCTATATATACAAGCTACATATATCAAAAGGATAAATTGCCTTTATTTGATATCATAATACATTTTGGAAAGTGTGTTTTTCATTTTTTCCATCAGTGGCTGAAATGATAAGCTTGCTCTTAAATATTTAAGTAAAACCACTAGAAATAGAATGTGGTATTTGGACTGCCTGAAGCTGCTCTTGTTGACAAAGTGTTAAGAAAAGGCATTTGTCATCGTAACAGCACAAAGCTAGCACCTCAAAGTGTTATCCACAAAGTCCTTCTCTGCAAATTTGTTAACGCTATTAGATAGATTACTCCACCTTTCCCATGGTGTGAACCGGTATCAATTATTGAGCCATCCTTTGATTATTATATTTTAATAAAATACCTGCTGATTAATTGTGAGCCAAGGTGTTATTGTGAGACTGGGTCACTGGCACTATTTACTTTACACTCACATGAAGCAGCATACAATGATTATTTTATTAATACCAAGACGGTTGCAGAATAGGAATGTCCACAGTGCACACTTCCAAAGGTGTTTCTGCATTTGCTCTATTTTTTTTAATCATTAACCTCTCTAAGCACTTCTACCTGCAAAAGGGACTCAAAGGAACAGGATGCCCATTGTGATTTTCACCTGGTGTGTTGGAAAATTCACACCCGCCTAAAGTGTTGTTTAGCGCACCAGTCCAGTGTTACAAACATACATGGAAAAGCACATAAATGCATAAGAAACCACTCGGAAATAATCAGTAAGAGATGTAATACTCCACCAGAAAAAGAGAGAGTAATGTCTTCCTACTTTGGTGAGACTAAAATGTTTTAAACATATCTCATTATGTCTTTTACTTTTTTAAATATGTCTAGTTCTTTTCCCTGGTCTGACATTTATCAAAAATACTGGTCATGTAGTTAACTACTGCACAGAGTTTCATGACAGCCTTACATTTTGTTATTTTTCTACAGAGTGCATATTTCTTTTAAAGAAAATAAAGATCTAAATCCAGCCTTTCCATATCTACACTCCTCGTCATTTGATTGGAACAAGGACATTTCCAAAATTCTGGTTCACACAAAATGAAGCAGAAGATAATAGTAGATTTAAATCTTTTAAAGTACTGAATATTCAAAGAGCAAAAGCGGAAAACAAACTGCATGTAAACCAATTCCTCCTCTCACTGCTTCTGTGATATTCAGAGGCAACCTGTTATTGGAGGTGTTAATTGGCAAATTCAGTACAAGTCAGGAGCATGTTCCCTGTCGTCCTAGCCCAGCAAGGCTAGGTCATTAAACTGGAAATGAATTCTTTCATGCTGTCTTAACCCTTTAAATGCATGGCTTGCTATAGGTCTTTTCAGCTTTATAAAAGTATAGGCACAAAACATAACTGGCAGTCAAGACAAAAAAAATCTGCAATATCATTTTCATTACTTTATTGCATTTCTGGTTAACAATTCCAGGTGAAATCTAAAATCCTGAGTGCAACAATTAAATATATTCAAAGCATTTATTTGATTAAAGCTCACTTAGCTGACTGTGGTTCTGCTTTACAGAGAACTCATTAAGATATGAATACATCAACTAAAACATATGGAAAAGTTTGCTGCATTTGTATTCACCTTTGGAGATCAAACTGCAATTAACACTTAACACTTAGCACCACAGTAACAGGCAGTGTTTCAAAATATAGCTACAGTAGCTGGAACATTGTAAAAAAATCAAAAACTGAATTTACTAAGAATCACAATATCATATTCATTCTTTGAAGAATTGCATTATACATTCCAGAGCAAGAAAGTGCCCAAATTATGGAATGTTTCATAAAAAAAAAAATCCATTACCACATTACAATGGATTCTCATGTTAAGCCTTTTTCTTCCCCGAAATAAGCCTAATCTAATTCTGGGCTAGCAACTATACAATTATACTAATTACAAATTACAAAATTATTCTAAGCTAAGAAGTAACATTTTTGTTTCTGCCTTTAGATCAGTTTTACACCTGGGTGTAATTCTTCAGTTTTTAGTGTTTGTTATTTGTATTTCAGGAACAAGCACACAAACAGAAGGCTTCTACCACAACACTTATATTTGTGAAACCTGAGAGATAAACGTTGAGTATATTCATACTTAACAGTTTACAGATTGGCTTAGTATGTCCCAACACAGCATTTACACAATCAAAACTCAATGCACAACAAAGATAAACACCTGAAAATACTTTGAATATATTGTAGTGCATAATTAAAAGTAAGTTTTATTATAAAAGTATAATAAAAAAATATTCAAATTAATCTTTTCCAGACTCATCAACTATAAATATAAAACTCTGTATAACACTTAAATGTATTTCACTTTTGGAACTGTCCCATTTTTTTTTCTGAAGACAATTAAGACAAGGCACAACAGGAAAGCTTTGTATTTCAAATGTATATATATATAGGCTGTATAAGACATTTAGCGAATACGAAGAATTTTCCTTCTTCTTTAAAATTATTTCACTGTACTGCTGACATAGAACAGTTTGACAGTACCTGTTGCTTTGCTTAACTATATAACATCCCACTTTAAGTGGCTGTAGAATGCTATAAGTGGAAAGAAATTCAATGTCAGAATTAAAAAGCAGTCTGTTATCGGACATGCTCATGACACAATAGCCTTACATAAATTACCCAGTTCACAAGTCTGGCATAATGTTTAGATGCCATCCAGGCAGCCCCCCCAGACTTGGAGAATCTCCTTTGGGATTCTTGTTGAGATCTCGCCGCTACCTCTGTCATCACATTCTGTATCTGCCAAAATTACTCTCCAAGATCAGAGTTTTAAAATCACCACAGAAACAAACAAGGGGATAGCGACAATTCCTTGCTTTCGGTCCATGCAAGGTATCAATAGGTTGTGCTTCAATTTGAATGCGACCCACGGCACCCTCAGAGACTGTTGCTGCCAATTCAATGACTTGCAAAGCAGCACGTGCATTACACACTGTTACTCTTCAGGCCCACATTATCAGAAACCTGGGTTTAACCTCAACAGCTCCTCAGAGCAAAACGATTTTTACGTAAATTAGAAAATAGCTGTATATTTGAGTTTGAGAGGAGGCGCTCTAGTTTTGTCCGTTTTAGGTTTCTAGTTATTTCTGACTACTTTAAGTGACCTTCTAAACTGTGAAAACGGCATTGCCACAAACTGTAGATACATATACACACTTTCACTATTAATGTTCTTTTTTCAGTGAAATATGTATTATATCCAAGGACAAGAGACATGTGGTCGATTCTATTTCGTACACTGTAATGTCCAGCTTCCATCTGCTTATTTCAAAGAAACTATTCCGCACATCACTTAAACATGAGAGCAAAGGGAAATCACTGGGTGAAAACTGACACCTCACCTGACCCAGTCCAGGCATCCCACCACCAAGCCTCAGGAGTCTGTCCATGTTTCTTTAAAAGAGGAGAAATGGAAAAGTTATTATGCCTGCAACTTTCAACACAGTAATTCACCTTCAATCTTTAAATGTCAAAAATATTGGTGGTAATTACTACACAACATCAGATTTCCTGTTAATTAACACCACATTCTAATTCAAGAATCTGCCTTCCTTGCTAATTAACAGAATCATTTTTTGCTTTGTTTTGAAGGTTACCTTGGTTTACTGCAGGGCTATACCTATAGAGTTTTCTCAACCAGATGAGTTCTACTCTTCATGCGTTGGAAGGCTGCCTCTCCTTCCAAAGTAATAGCTTTGGAATACCTAAGGCAACTCTTATTTTAAAATTAAGTGAAAAATAAGGTTTCACTACACATTAAGGAGAAATCTTGATTAGTAACTCTGATGCTAATTAACTTGCAGCTTGTCAGATATAATCAATACCTCATGTGATACGTGGTGTCAAATGATATCAATCTCTAAACAAATGAGTGTTTAATTTGTATTTCAGGTCAGGTAAAGCACAGCTTTATGTATGTTACTACTGGATACCATAACAGTTCAGTGCAGCTTCAAGAGATGTCTGTAATAATTGATCACAAACCAGACCCTGATTTTAAGACTTTTTAATAAATAAACCTAACGGTACACAATCCAAGCTTCCCACTTGTCATAAAATTTGGATTTCTGGATAAATGTGCATTTTAAAGTAAAAAGTGAGTAAAATGAATCCTTGTTGTAACACAAATTCATATAATTGTCTTCAAATCAGTATTAAGATTAATTAAGAAAATTCATTCTCCATCTGTTTTAATTGAAAAAGTGAATTATATAGGTGTCACGTTCATTATCGTCATTCCTTCTGTTCAACTTCAGCCTGCTTCAGGCACTGTTTTGCAGATGCAGAGTGGAATAAAATAAGAGGAGGTGTTCACACTAATTCTAGGAAAAGCTGTGCGCTTTTCCAGGAGTGGACTGGATGAATTAAATGGTGATGCAATAGTACTTTCAGTATCTGACAGACCATGTTGACAGCAGTGTTCACCATGTATGGTGACCTACATAATACTGCTGTAGTCCTTAGAATAGCCGTTGAAAAATGACCAGGAGGGGCTCTGGATAGCTCTAATACGATTTAGTTGTTGCGATATAACCCTGTAGAAGGCAAAGTTATTGAGCCAACAAAGATAAGAGAAATAAACAGGAGATGTACAAAGAATTCACAGATTTATCTTAAAAAAAAACCATAAGAACTTATGTTTTTTTTTCATTTTAACCTTAGTGTTTGGTAATTTTGGTATTTGTCCCACTGTAGCTCATAAACACAGTCTTCACCTAGAGACCCCATATACCGAGTCAGAAGGCGGGTCTCATTTTCTCTGAGCAGGGATTACTAAGATTTTTTTCACTCAGAGATAGAAATTACCTTTTGAGGTACCCAGAACTAGTACTCGGCACAAACGATCTGCTGAACAAATGTAACCCTTCTCATCATGTTCTTCAAACTGTGATGAACTGACTGCTTAAAAACACATAAAGGCACTAACAGAATCATGAATTAAAATATGAGTGCATGCAAAATTACTATTACACAATCTCTTATTGCCTTATTGATCCGATCAGGCTCAGAAGTTTTATTTTACTGATTAAGCAGTGGAAAATTCACATTAATTTTGCATAGATCTATGAACAGTCCACAATATGAAGAAGAAACAGGGATGTCACCATCAGCATTTGTCTTTTGTAATTTTTACCTGCACTTCCATATTCTCTCATTACATTAACCATAATCTTTCCATTCTCTTTGCTGTACTGTTTTCTTTTCCCATTGCTATTTTGTTCCCCCACCACAGGATGCTTTTTTGAGTAATTATACATTATAGAAATGATCAGGTTTTCACAACTGAATCCACACACATTAAAAGTATAAAAACAGAGCAAGACAGACATGATAATCTTATTTCAGACCAACTTTTAAAAGGTGATTTCTTCCTAACACAAGCTAAACACTGATGGTGTGCTAAGTGGACATTAAATTGAAGGTTTAAATTACTTTCTACATTCCAATCCATTTCTACATTCCATGGGCTTGGTGAAAGGTTCGCCCAAAAACTTAACACCAGTGGCTGTCAGTTAGGCTTAATTTCCATCACACTAGTAACCTCTGGCATAGAAGTCAGCAACCTATGGCATGCGTGCTATTATTGGCTCACAAAGGGATTTTAACAATGTGCACTTGCAATAAAAGTAATTAACAAAGAAAGTAAGTTAAAAATGAATAAATCAATACTTGACTGTTCTGTAATTCTCTATAACATGCTACCCAATAATGGCTCTTTGGTAAAGAAAAAATGATGCAATTGATATATTTACTGCACTGTTTTTAACAGGGCAAGCTTATCATTTTCACAGAAAAGCTCACAATCATTGCAGCTGATAATTGTTTTTACACTTAAGTGTAAAGACAAACATTTTGGACAAAATGGCAGCTGCTATGAAAGTTAGATGTTGGCTCATTTCTGTTCTTTTAGAGAGATGATTATGGATTTGTTCAACACAAGACCATGTGTTTGGGCTCTAAGCTGTGCAGACAAGGCGGAGACTATCAAACGTACCAATGTCTGCTAGATCAGAGGAGTGATGCATAAGTGAAATGGCTGAAAAATGGTAACAATCAACAGACACTGGCATTAAAAGATGAAGAAGTATTTAGTGTTGCACATGAGTGCATTGATATAAATGACGTACCGCAATAAGCAATTCTTGCAAGATTCTGTGACTCAAGATGGAATGCGAGAAGAGCTGTAATGTCTAAAAACCATGCAAGGTACAACTACAGAGTGAGACAGAGTTAAAGACATTTATGTATTATGTTGTGAAATATTTTCTGTGACAACTGCCAGTGCCCTTGCTATGCGAAAATAGAAGGTTTTTGCAAAGATCGCTGCGGCTCACACCAGCATCCCACAGTAAATTTTAATCTTATTATTGAAAAGATCTTTGTGCCAAGATTTCAAATTACGATCTCAATAATGTAATGACTACAGGGGTGAAAACAGCAAATTTCCTGTTCCTCGGTCTGCCTTGAAGCTGAAGGAGATGGACGTCCACATTCTCTAATATTTAAAGAGGGAGAGTTCTCACGAATCGCGACGTGGCCCTTCCTGCTCACTAGTCACTGTAATGACTAATGTAATGTAATATATGAGCAAATTAAGTACAGGTATCACTTAATACCTGATATTAGCAGCAGATATTTCAGTACAGAAAGTTTCCAATGTGAGCTGCATGGAGAGTAATAATATGCAAGTAATAAGTAAGTTCTATTTATTAGTAAAATCAAAGCGAAATTGAGAATAATATTTCTACTGTATTAACAGAGATGGATTCACAAGCCTGCTCATTTACAGTGTAATAAGGCTGCAGCATGTCACTGGAAGCTTTTTTGCCTTGTACTGAACAGCAGAGAATAGTGATGTGCATTCCTGGAAATTTTTATCCATTTTGTGATGTAAATTGGAGGTTTCACAAGTTATGATGTACATTTTACTTTTATTGTAGTTTGAAATGAACTCAGCAATGCTGATTCTTCCTAACCCTAACATGTTAAAATAGCATCGCAGCTCCCCTTTAAAGTATCAAGCTATAAGCTTAAGTTAAGAGAACTCAGAAAGGTAAAGCAAGTATAAGGATCACACTAAATGATAAGGCATGCACATAAGATCTAAAATCAATAAATTAATTTTAATATCACATTTTAATTACTAAAACTTAAAGTAGAGCTATTCCTGACATTAAAATGATGAGCCCTATTCTAGTTCATTCCAGCAATACCGAGAGGTATTAAGACACCATTTATTTCTACTTTTTACAAAGTGTAACAATAAAAAGAACATTCCCCGGGAACCAAGAAGAAATGGTTAAACAGATAGATTCCTTGCATTCTATAAGCTACAGTAATACAAGATGGGCCTTCTCTCATTTGTACGCCTTATATAGAAAAACTGATTTTTTTTTCTGACAGTTTTGTAACGTTTTACCCTCTACAATCTAGAATTGGCGGCTCTTAAATATACTGTAGCTTGCACTTAAAAAGGAGAGACAGAGATAGTCCCTCCAAGACATAGCTTGATATGTATAACCTACTCTTATTAAAAACAATGTGATCATGCATCACTTACAAGAGAGCTGAAGCACTGCTGAAAGGACAGATAACACTACAAGCTCACAGGTGCTCAGCAAGCCACAGGGGCCAGGGTCATTGATACTGGCTAATGAAACAGCATGGATTCGAAACAGTAATATCCAGACCGTTGGGCTCTGGATGGGCACCTTCACTGGCTGAATAGCTAGGAAACCCGAACTTTGTAAAACTGTAGGTTTTACAGACCTACAATCTTTTGTGTTTGTCAGGTTACATCATTGTTCTATCCAGATTAGGCCCTTAAATTCCTGAAACTATAATCCAGAATATTAGTTTTAACTCCTGGTTTAAAAAGTTTAGGACAAAAAAGGGAAACATGGGATAAACTAGTACTTCACAACTGAAACAATACCAAAGGCTGATAAGAGAAAGCAATGCTTGCTCACCATCTAGGCCCAGTTTTCTCTCTCTCAATACTATCTAAAAAGATCAAACTAGTTTATGGTACTGTTCTTACTATATACAGAATATGGCACAAACCCACAACCAGGTGCATCACTTTTCAAGATAAGTAAAAAAAGTAACCCCTTACTGAAATCCCCACTAACATGTATTTCAGCCAACTAAATTCATAAACAAATTCAGGAGACAAACTTAAAAAAAAAAACTGTACATGACTACTACAATGACCACTGCATAAAGTAACAAGTGTGTACCGAGCACAAAGTATATTCCAAGGAAAAGATTTTGAGGAAATATTCATCTTTACTGTACTAAAGAAAGGCCAAATCATGTTTCTTAATATCATAAGACCCATTAAGAGTTACCATACAAAAAAGGAACATGCTTCATGGTTACTGTCTTAAAATCAGAGCAGCATAAATATGGCACATTTAAAAAAAATACATGAAGCTGTATTACACAACCTGCAAGACATGTTAATTCATGATAAATTATGAATTTGCATAGTGCTTTTTATTTCAAAGGATACCAATGCACAACCAATTCAGCTAAAACTGAAGAGCAGCACTACTATTAACACGCCTTAACATTTGTACCCAATACAGTGGGACATTTTATTGGAGCAATCCGAGTGAAGAAACTTGGTCGAGATAAAACTGCATGACTGCAACTGGAATTTGAAACTACAAAGTGCCACTTATGAGTTCAGAACCACTACCCAACACAGATGCCCCACAGCAAATCTGGTGAAGTACTTACAAATTACTTTACTGAATTAAGGGAGATTTAGAGAGGCAACATTACACAAGTCCAGAATGGAATTAGCCACGACAGCTCAGTGTAGAACCCACATCATCCAAACACCACTAGGGGACATATAATGACCAAGCAGTCAGGTTTAAGGTCTCCTTCAAAGGACAAAATCACCCATAGCACAGTCTCTGCTGTCACCATACTGGAGAATTGGTCTAAAAACTCTGGTCTACAGAGAAGAGTGCCACCTACTGGTCCACCAGCAACAATAGTAGCAGAAAGCTGGTTTCATTAGGTCTCCTATCCCAGTAATGACCAAACAAACATTGCTTAGTTTTGGGGATTTGATGAGATCATACAACAGGGCAGCAATGTTGCTGTGTCACTATGTGTCAACTATATTACAAAATTAAAATCACAAATGTATACACATTTATTAATTGTCTACAACGCCTAAGTAATGCATACAAACAAGGAGAAATAAGTCAATGTGAAAAATTAATGAAAATATTGTATTTTCTACATTTTGGTGATGCAGTCCTATTTTCACTTTGTATAATGATGCCAGACCTTGCTAAAAATGATTATAGATATTTACATGATAATGTCACTGCAATGCTGAAACGTATTGTCCAGGCTCTATAGTACTTAGCACTCAGCTAAACATTATTTCAGTATTGAAGACTGATTTATCGGCTTAAAAAACATTACATGTAGTGTGAGATTATATATAGTCAACAAACTGAAGGACACCCACAAATTGATCATTCTTAACATTACAAATTGAAATGGAAATCAAAACATACAAATTATATCGGGGTTAAAGGTTATTGCAATTTTACTTTAAAAAAACTGACCCTATACTTGCTGTAGATTGCTTAGTCACCTCAAAGCTAAACTAACGAAGTGTATCGTAGACACCAACGGCAGAAGAAAACTCTTACATAATAATCTATTATTATTCGTTTTAAATTACAGCTAAACACTGAGGTAAAATAACTACACAGCAAAAGTTATGATAATACAGCGAGGAAACCAATAACTGAAAAATCCTGACACTACCACGTAATCTCATTTCCCTAACATCACGTTACAATAGAAGTATCCATAAGGTACGTTAAATTGTGAATTTTACATTACAAATGGACACGTTCAGCCTTTTGTATTAGAATACTTCAACTGAAATATAAGTGATGTCAGGTGTATATATATATCGTCAGCAGTCTTAACAGTGTTGTCAATACAACCTACATAACAAAAGTAACAACAAACACAAATACATTTCAACCGCTTTTATATTACGCACGTCTAAGAACACCGTTTCTAAACATTTCTTTGATGGATAGCTTGACAGAATTCAAATGGATTTTATGTAGGCCGTAGTTACAAATGCCCATTTTACTCTTGGTAACGACTAGGCCTTTGAAACATTTCTACAATTATCCCTGGATCTGCACATTTTACACAGTCATTATCTATACACATATAATAGTCTCCTGAAGCAGGCTGTATACAAAAACTACATTACCTGTAAAAAGGCAACAAAACGCAAAATCCCCTCAGATATCTAAACGTGTAAACCCCGTTTAGCGTCTGCAATGAATCAGCCGGATTTCATTCAAAACAACCTCGCCGGCGCAGGAAACACTTCCGGGTCACCTCCTATTGATTCCGTAAGTGTTGAAGAAATTAAGCCTTCATAAACAGAAGGCTGAGAGCCAAGTGTCACACTTAGATACTTTTTTTTTGTGCGTAGTAACATCTTATTTTTCACGCGTAAATTATGATGAACCTGATACTGTCGTATGAACTGTAAAATGTTGTTTTCGTTTAATAAAAGCTTTTTTTGTGTATGTGAAGAGTTCAGACTTAAGCATACTGATATCAACCAATAGATGGAAGATGAATGAAACAGATTGTAAACAGACGCCGGCTTCGTGTGCATCATAGAGTCAAGGAAAAATGAAGCACTGTGCGATCGATAGACGCACACACATTTAACATAATGTGCTGGACGCATTTATTCAATTTACTTTTCATCAGTTCCTGACGTCGCTTCCATTGGCTGAGAGTGGATCTAAGTTTAAAGGACGAAAATTAGACGGGGATAAGGAAACATAGCTTTGTAAAAAAGTTGTAAATTTAATTAAATGACGAAGAAATTATGACATTACCATCATTTGATCATTCAGGATGAATCTTTTCTGGATTAGGAATTTTATTAACCCTTTTATTGTAAGAACAGCCATTTAGTCCTAAAAACAGGTTCGTTCGAAAAAAGGTTTAATTAACATTCTTGTTATTCAAAAAGTATGGTATAAAAGTGTGAATATGAAGAGACCCAAACATGTTTAATAT